GGAGGCCAGGACGGAGGCCAGGACGGAGGCCAGGACAGAGGCTAGGTCGCAAGCAGGGTCGCCGCTTGGATCACCCGGACCGCGACGACTGAGTTCCGGGCAGCGCTTTCACCAGAGGTTTGAGGCCATTCCGGAGGAGATGCGAAGCGTCCAGGACGATCTCAAAAAGTAAGGACAGCTTAATTTATGATAGTGGAAACGCTAATGCTAAATCATTTAAAGACACGCGCTCTCTTGCAGAACGGACGCAGCTGAGCCGCACTCCAGCAGTAGGGCCAGGGCGGCGTTGCAGCTGCAGGACCACGGCGAGGGACGGGGCTCCGGCGCCTGGCTCAACTTCTGCATGACGAGAGACCAAGAGGAGGCCGCCGCCGAGGAGGCCCTGCGTCACACAGCAACACCGCGCGGGCCCGTGTCCGCGGCCACGTCCCCGCTGTGCTTCCCCTGCGGCGCGGCCACCACCTCCGCGGCCACGTCCCCCATCCCTACCGCACGACTGCGCGCGGCCGACGGCCCCACGGCCTCGGGATCAGGTAGGGGTGGAGGAGAGTGGCGTTGCCCTCAGCGTAATGGCGCCAGCTCACGACGTGCTTCCTCCCCCGCAGCCTGTGCGACGGCCGCGCCTCCAGCCGCCGTCGCTGACCTCACGCCTCCTGTCCGTACGGCTCCGGGCCACGCGGCCCCAGCCTCCGCGACCAGTCCCGTCAGGACGTACCTGGCGCGCGGTGTGGGCACCACGGACCACGAGGACGCTGCAACCAACACCATGTGTGGGCCTACGCTGCCGTGGGGGCCGCGGGCCGAGGAGCCTCGCGGTCCAAGGCAGGGTGCGCTGCTGGACGCCACCACCTCGCCAAACAGGCGGCGGTCCGACGCGGGCACCACGGGGGGAGCATTCGGGGTCTCGGGTAACGCGCCGCAGCCCAGGAGACCCTCGGAGACCTCGACGGCCACCGGTTGCGGCATCTCCTGTAATCCCCAGGGACCGGCGTGCGGGGGTGTGCAGACGCAGTCGCTAGACGCGCCTCTTTGCTGCCCAATGCTGCCCGTCGACCTCAGCAGGCACTTCAGCGAGACGGGCGTGGCGGCATGCACGCGCCAAAGCACCACCATGCTCTCCATGTCGTCGTGCAGGAGGACGGTGGTGACGCGGCGGCAGCGCATCCCGGTGCACCACAACCACGTGCTCGAGCACTTGCACGACACGTGTGACTCGCTGAGCACGTCGTCGGGGAGTACCGAGTACCTGGCGCCCCCCGGGCGCAGCGCGACGGACGACGACTCTACATCGCCGTGCTGGCGGCGCGCGCCCTGCGGCCCCTCGGAGGTCCCCAAGCTCGCCGCTGCGCGGGGGTTGCGGGGACCGCGAGGGCGCGCCGGGCCCGTGCTGGAGCGCGGGCTGTATCAGCACCACGCGCCTCCGCGCGCGCAGCCCGCTGGTCCGCCGCCCAGAGGTACGCAACGCAGCCCTTTCCCCCAGGCGTTTCATCGTACGCGAGTGTGCGGGCTAAACAGCCGCGTACGCTGTGGGTGCTCCCGCGCCCCCCCACTGTCCCGGTATTGACCCTCTTCCCCCTACCCAGATGGAGTGGGCTGGACCGTCACTCTGGCCGGCGCCGGACGCAACCAGCACGGTGACCTGGAGATGCGCCTGTCCTTTCCGGCGGAGGGCAGGGAGGAATTGCCGGCAGACGCCCAGGACAGCGTCGCGGAACAGGCGGAGACGGGTCCCGGGCGGGGCGCTCGCGGACAGGCACCCACGATGTCAGCGCCGCAGGCTGGCCAGGGTCGGTGGTCGCTCACCATCAGGAACCAGCTGCCGGGTGAGCAAGTTGTTGTCGACTAAAGAGCGCACCCATTTCTAATGATTGAAATATTTGTTTACTACTCATTCTTCACCAACACCACATCTATTTGGATTTGGGGAGAATGATTACTGTCGGCGGTGCATATGCATCTTTGTCATTTGGAGATCCCCTCTGAAACTTTTCAACCTTTGCCTGCGCAGGAGACGGGGAAGCCGGGCAGCGACCTGGAGTATCGCTGTCCATGACGCCCGCTGCGCCCCAGGAAGACCGGGTAAGAAAAACGAACTTTAAGCACTGCGTCTGCTTCCAAACGAAAATAAAATAATTTCTACTACAACGATTGCTTACAATAATGTGATGTCCAGAATCTCCGCATGCTCTGCTTGAGTCACTCGATAAGCTTTTTTTGGCATGGGCTTGCCGACTGAGCGAACTGCTCCCCCCAATAACGCGGGTCGCAGATGACAGAGCTGCTGTGAGGTCTAAGCAGGCGAAGTACTCCTCAGATTCCCAGCCGCACAATCATTCATAATGTTTATTCGATCGTTTCATTGCGCAAAGTGAACGCAGAGCACACCCTGCTTCCCCGAACACCGTAGGCGGTGAGTGCATGTGGATGTGCTTGCATGTGCAGCCCTGCCGACCGGCCCCGGCCGCGCCCGCCCGCCCCCGCGCCGCCACCAGCGACAAGCACGCCCAGCGCACGGCGCGCCGGCCGCTGTCCATCGTCTGGCCGCGGCTGCACCAGGAAATCAGTTCGGTCGCCGCGCACGAGTAAGTCGGCTGCCCCTGCATGGCCCCTCTGCCCTCACCGGGCAGGTTTTCCTCTGCCTCCAGATCCTCTGCAGTCCCGCGAGCGCCCGGGTCCCTGTCAGGTAGGCCACCACCTGGCAGCCGCGTGTGCCGGGTCGGCCTACCTGCCGGGGGCCCTCCCGCCCGTCCGCCCAGCGGCCCCCGCCCGTCCCCGCCCCACCAGTCTCAACGCGCTGTGCTCCACAGGGCGTCGGAGGCGGAGACCGTCCTGAGCGTGACGGGCGCGGCCATCCAGCGAAAGGCTCACCGGGCGCTGCCCCGCCACCTGGGCCACCGCCGGTGATCGAGGTCCGCGAGGGCGTGCCCCCACCCACGCCGTCCGCGCCCGGGTCCGGGGTCCTGCTCACCTCGCCCACCGCAGTGCGCGCACGCGATGGTTCGCCCACCACCACGGTGAGGGTGACGATACCCTCGTCGGCGGCCTCCTCACCCAGGACGTCGCCCAGGGTGCTGCGGCTCTCTGTACCCGCGAGCCCCGCTGCCACCCACCCCGCCACCACGCCACCAGCGTCCCCCGACCGATTCATCGTCAGGATTCTGCCCGCCACCCCGCTGCCACCGGCCTCTCCCTAGCTCGTGCAACACCGGGCCCGGGGGCCGGGCCAAAGCCAAAATCTCAGTTTTCGCGGAGTGCAGACTAGTGGTGTTTTAATGTCTAGTCATGGACTCGCAAAGATAATCATTATCCCTCAAAGTCGACCTACCTTTAGTTAGCTGTCATACAGGGTGTCCCACGGGCCACTTTTTTTTCGTACTGCACCCTACCGCACGCATGCGGGTGGGGCGAGAGTTGCCTACTCGCTAGGGGAGGGGCTATAAGGTGCCATGGTGAGCAGCGGTAGGCAAACCTGCCCTTAGGGCGACATGCGGTAACGTATAATTTTTGACAATTGCGGGGGGCCCCTGCTGTGCATTATACCTGAAAACATTATGATCTCGTAAACACCCCAACCAAAGATGGACATGGTAAGATGGTTCGTTAATGTACGGCTGCCTGATGCCGATCACCACAGGGCACAATACAAGCAGTAGTCGCGGCACACTGTGGACGCCCATGTAATACTAAATTAAAGTTCCTGCTCGACATTAGACAGCCGAGTCGAGGAAAAACATAGAGTGTAGAAAGTTTGTTCCAGTTCCCGCTGCCGGTGCGTCTCCAGGCGGGCGGGCGGGTGACGCCGCGAGGGCACACCCGCCCGCCCGCCTGAAAGCCGTGCAGTGCGACCCATCAGTGTTAGTCAGTATGAACCTCTTCCACACGATTGCTTCCTCTCAATAAATTGCGTCCCTTTTTAAAAACGCTTGTCCTAGAATACGTGCCATTGGTTAACTGTAGTACTTCCACCGTCTCATGTACGAAGTGTATGTTGTATGGTTTTATTACTGAATAAAATATTGATTCCGTTTTGCAAAGCGCGTTACTATTGTACTACTTTTGAAGTGCCCCTTCATGTGTATTGTATTCATAATGAGTGACCGAAAAAACGAGGAAAAAACAGTTTTGACATGATGCAGCAAGAAAGACCGATACTGCTGCCGTGCATATACCGGGACCAACGTACGGCCAACGTAGGGTACCCACACCTAGCGGTCCCCGTGTGGGAGGTGCGCTGAGTAGCCGAGCGGCAGCCAATCGCAGCGCTTTGGTATCGCCTGGGAGCCGGCCCGGCCAGAAACCACCCTGTTCGAGGCTAGGGTGCAGGCGAGCCGACGCGCGCTACAGCGGAGAGAGTAGTCTCGCTCGGGGTGTCCCTGGCCCAGGCGATACCAGCCCGGAGCTCTGCGCATCTCTCACACGAGGGGCGCTACCCACACCGACCCACACTCATTATGGCGAAACAATGTGATTTGGCAACGTTGCCGTGTAGCCCTTTGTTTGCCCGTTTTGCGCCCGGGTCGTTGTCTGGGTCCTGCACGCGCATGCAGCTCCAGACCGGCGCACTGAGTCCCGAGGAGGCGAGCTGAACGGACGCCCTGCCTCATGCAGGAGCCGGTGATCATCAAGACCCCTATTCGGAACTACGTGCACCAAACCTTCGACCCGCACGGTTTCGAAGCTGATCGACTTGCCCAGCCCAGCGACATCGCCGAGTACAAGGATGTACATAACCTGTTGAAAACGGACAAAGCACGTGATGAGATCATAGTATCGATCCAGAAGATCCAGAACAGGGAAACTTATCGTCAGTTCTGGGCAGAGGTTGAAGAGTACAAGCTGTGCAAGCCTAACGCGTACGTGTACAAGCTGCTGCATCATGGAACTGGCGAGCACAGCACGCACGGCATCGTGCAAAACAACCTGCAGAAGGTGTTCATAGACTTGCAAGACCACCCACAACAGTGAGTATAACTATTCAATATTAAACTATTTCGCTGGTCGATTATCATCGAAAGACAATGATTTGTGCCGAAAAATTGTGCTTGAAAGTGATTGGGGCGGAGGGGGGGTGGGGGGGAGTAGATAGAGGAAAGTGAACAAGCTGCGGTGTGCAGCTCGTTTGATTAAAAGTGTGAGGTCGTCGCTTTTCACGGCATGTTAGAAATCTTACAAACTTACATGCTGCATGCCGCAACGACAAGTTTTACCCGGTTTTACCACACCGGCTTGATTGTGTGACAGGAAATTATGAAGGCTACTGCGGGGACGGATTCTACTTTACGCAGTTTTCCTGGTAAGGTGACTTTCCGCACATACTGCAAATACAGTGACATTACACGTTATTGTTCAGCGTCGAATAGACGTCAGACCGTACACCAGGTGGCTGCTAAACCGAGCTCACATCTGTAGTTATTCTGCACCGCTCGCACGAGTGCGAGTGGGCTTGGCTATCGCTTCTATCCACAGCGCCTTACGGGTCGAGTGAGTAGGCAACCCGCTCGCACTCGTGCGTGCGGTACAGTATAACCGAAGTGAGCGGGGCGGAGCGGGGTTAATCAGCCACATGGTAGGCGAGATTGTAAGATTTATGACTGCCCCCCCTTCCTCCCTTTCCCTTTGCATCCTGCTTTTGGCCGGCCGGGCGCTTCCAGGCACCAAACGGAAATGTGTGGCTTCATATAATTTAAATTTAATTTCCGCCTCGCAGAATGCGTTTTGTGTTTGACGTCTCGGGTGTCCCATATCCCCATAAATTATTTTTTACCATATTTGGGCGAGTCGACTTTACTCTTACCCAGAAAAGATCGGAAAAGATAGTCTCCTCAGGACCTTGCTTGGAACGAGGTCAAGGGTCTTGAATGCAGGCCAATTGAGCATGCAAAAAATCATCAGGATATTTTCCTGATTTTACGAGGATTCTTTGTTGCAAGGCGTGTTTTTTATCTTGTACATTGAAAGTGTATTGAAAGGGAATTTAATGCGCCACATCCAGATCTGACTGTGTCCTGCCTTCTCCCTCTGTCATGGCGTGCCGACTATGCAGTGTGCACAGAATGCGACAGTGGTTGCAATCTTATTCTCACCGGATGAATATTGCGAACTTCTGTTGCGAAGGGGGTGGTAGTCAGTCGGGGCAAGAAGTTGGTGATCCCTGCAAATGCCTGCACAAGGTCTAACAACGCTTGTTTTTATTTTCCAGATGCCTTTTGAATATGCAATCATGTTAGTATGCGTCAAAAGCTGAGAAATCTGGGTCCAAATTGGGCCTGAAAATTTTGAAATATTTAGATTGCAAAACTTTAATGATGTGATCCACGAGTTGCGACTTTTCAAAAACCTAATGGACCGGTTTAAAATAAGGCTGGGCACATAAGGACGACGGCGACGACTTTTTTGGTAAGGGTTGGTTCGAGGGGGAAACGACTGTTAAACTTTGTGTCAGCCGGATTACAGATTACCCGGATTACCTCCGGAGTGTCCTCCGGATTACGTTGCTTTTTCTCTAGGATTACCCCGGATTACCCGCAAAATTTTCCCGGATTACCCCAAAATTCCCCCGGATTACCACGGATTTTTTAGAATTTCCTCGGATTACCCCTGCCGGATTACCTTTCGGCTGTCAGCCGGATTACCTTAGTCGTTTCCCCCTCGGGTTGGTTACATAAGGACTTGACTTTTATTTACATGTATTTAGATTGTAAGCTGATTTTATTGTATTGCTATTTAGAATAAGTTTAAAAA